GGGGAGGTAGGTGGTGGAAGGGAAGAGGTAAACTTTGACTCTCCTGGTTACTGGTTTTCTGTAAGGAACTAGTCTTACTTTTGGAGTTTAAAAAACACTAGAGAAAACACATATGGTGTTGGGCTATAAAGCATTCTCAAATCCTAATGTCTTAAGGGTTTGGCTTGGAGACCTGAAGCTGGGCATGGCGAAGATGCCACCTCAGCTCCCTTCCTCCCGACCTCCCACCCCTAACCTTCATCTTGCTCTGTGTTCCTCCATTTTCTAAAAACATGTCCGAAACCTGTTTGGTAGCATGCACACAAGTCTTCAAAAATATGAAGTGGCAAGGAATCTTTCCAATCTCAGCAGAGCTGTAGTCTTTTTAAGTCCTCAAAATAGTACGTGACACATTATAAAGGCGTTTAATTAAATTCACAATTGTCTCAATATTTTTACATGCACTAGAGCAAACATGTTAATCAAGCCAGATTAGTTCTAAGAATCACGTCCCTGAAACACAGCCCTCTGAAAAGGGGGCTTTTAAATTTATTCAAAATTTTTGTCAAGTAAAAATTCCCTCTTCCTCCCATCCCACTAAATAAATACATATCACGTAGGAAGATATTTGTCAATGACATTGAGACAAACTTCTATGTGAGTGTGTGGACTGGGGATCTAGCCCAGGACCTCACATGCTAAGCAAGCACGGTACCACTGAGCTACATCCTCCAGAACCCTAAATGTACTTCAAAAGCAAATTTGCTGGATTGAACTCGGGGCCCATGCTTGCTAGGCAAGTACTCTATCACTTGAGCCACACCCCGGCACTTTTGCTTCTTCTGTCAGGGTCCTGTGCTTTTGACTGTGCAGCCTTGGACTGTGAGCCCCCTGCCTCCACCTCCCCAAGTACCTGGGATTGCAGGCCTATGCTGTCATCACCAACCCAAAACATACTTTTTTTGGGGGGTGGTACCGAGGCTATAAGTGTCCTGGCGCTCTACCAGCTGAGCCACTCCCCAGCCCTATTTAGTGTCGGGTATTTTCAAGATAAGGTCTCAGAACCATTTGCCTGGGGCTGGCTTCCTGATCTCTGCCTCCTGAGTAGCTAGGATTACAGGTGTGAGCCACTGGCATCTGGCTCAAAATAAACTTTTTTACTGAGATTTTAAACCTGTTTGGAGAAAACTAATTAAAATTCACTTGAGCAAGACAGTGTCTTTGAATTTTACAGTTAAATTAAACACCACCATTTAAACTCATCAATGTGCAGTTGTTTCTAGGGTTCAGGAGTCAAAGCTGGGGTTCCACGGAGGAGGCAGTTGGGCAGTCAGTCAGGGAGCCTGAGATAGCACAGGGAAACCAGAGTTGAAAGCACGAGATAATGGCACACAGTGGAAGAAGGGTGAAGTCACACACCCAGTGGGTCACAGGGAGGCTCCAACTAGGTCAGGTCAAGGACGAAAGCAGCAGTGACAAGTAACAAGCTGGTGTGAACTCTGATACCAGGTGCTATTTCTGCAGGCTTTGTTTTCCTCGCTGGGCGTGTTAGGTATTGGAGTGAGAAGTATGAAAATTGTTATTACAAACACAACCAAATCTGCCCTTGAGTGACTCCAGGACACACACGGGAGCTGGTTCCCAGACGCCAGCTGGGGCAGAAGCTCAAGTTGGACTGTCGCTCGTGAAACAGACTTCTAAGGAAGTTTTGATAGTCTAACCCTTTTCTAAACGTGGTGAGAATACCTTTCCAATTCCTGGTGAGGCAAGCGGCCAACTTCCTAACAAATTCGATCAGCAAGCAGGGTTAGAAACAGCGCACTCAACCTACTGTGCTCAAACTTCCCAAAGCTGGAGGGGAGGTGAGAGCCTCCTACTCACCCATTCTGCATGGGAGCCCCGAGCTCCCTCACCCTCCCATAAAAGAGGACATGACCTAAATCTATCAGCCAATTTGTTCTGGGCCCATTTGTCTTCTTGCTTAGCCTACAGAGGAAAACCTACCGCTCGAAAGAAATCTGCTTTCAAACCCAGTGCACAGTCCACACTCCCTCCTCCTCCTTCAAAGCCAGTTGCTTGGTTTTGCAGTCAAAGGAGCTGGTGGGAAGTCCCCCACCTTTTTATTTATTTATTTTTATTTATTTTTGCATCCAGTTGCCTTTCAGCTATGCAAGCCCTACACCCCTCAGATACCAGATGACTTCCCACACTCCCTGTCCTCACTGACAGGGATCCAGAGAGCTCCCTGTCACCTCCTCCAGCATCCAGTCCCCTGCCAGCCTGCTTCACTATAACCTGCTCTTCCCCCGCCCCTCCCGGAGACATGGGTTCCAAGTGGTGGACTGTGAGTCATTCATAGATCAGGAGCTTCTAAGAACACAGAACAGGAACAGAAATAGAACAGAAAGAGAGACTTGTTTCAGATACACATATACTTCTGTTCTGGGTTTCAAAGTTTTTTAAAAAAAATTGCATTCCTACTGCTGTAGCCCAAAACTGCAACCCAGATCTGGGCCAGCCTGTGACATCTAGTAGAACTCCCCTAGGACGTGGGACCCACTGTACTGCAGCGTCCTTTCTCTGGGCTGACTCGAGCTCTGAGCAGAACTTCCAGTTGTCTTCTCCACTGGCTGTTTTCAAAATCATTGGCCTTTGACCCTGATTCACAAGCTCTTCCTCTAGAGCCAAAGGATTGCCTTTTCCTTGAACACTGGGACGTTCTGAGAGGAGAAACACCCTTTCCCATTTCTGCCTGTGTCCTCAGGTCTGGGGGTGCCTCACCAGGAGCACCAGGCCTCAGAGCAGCAAACCCCACTTCTGTGTATGGCACCTTTCATCCCCAACAAGAAAGAGCTCTGCGAAAGTCACGCTTGAACACCCTTCAATTTCTTATTAAATCAGCCTCAGTTTCCTACGTGATGCATTACATTCAGGGCCTGAAGCCAGGGTGAATGGTCTTGCCTGTTGTTCGCTCAAGTCCGTTTGTGTTCTGAGAGTAGATGGGTAGTTGACTCAGTGTTGCAGTCTCCTTCACCTCCCAGGGCAAGTGGAAGGAGGGAAGCATAAGGAGGAGCTCTGTCAGCTTGGTGGGATCTTTTCCTCTCTCAAGGACAAGGGCACAAGCTGTCCAGCACACTCCACCCCCATATTTGCCTTCCTTGTCCAAGGGCCTACTATTCTCACCCAGACAATTAACTCATTATCTCCCTCAAAAGAGAAGCTTATTTTCTGTCTCAGTGCAGCCTATTCAGTTACTCTCTCAGCCAGACTTCTTAACCTTCCACGAGATAGGAAGTTTAAATGGATCTCCAACCTGTCCATATGGGATACTAACTTAGAAAGAAGGGTGAAGGGAGCCAGACACTGAGGGTTTCTTACAAGCTAAACTGCTCAGAGCCAGGCACTGGTGATGCACGCCTGTAATCCTAGCTACTCAGGAGGCAGAGATCAGGAGGACTGTGGTTCAAAGCCAGGCAGGGCAAACAGTTCTCAAGACCTATCTCGAAAAAACCCATCACAAAAAAGGGCTGGTGGAGTGGTTCAAGTGGTAGAGTGCCTGCCTAGCAACTATGGACTATGAGGCCCTGAGTTCAAACTCTAGTACCACAAAACAAACAAACAAACAAACAAAAAAACAAAGCCCAGGAGCAACAATAACCCAAATTAAACTGCTCAGTATTCTAAGGCCATATTTGAGAGAACACCAACACTGGAACCACACTGAAAGCACTAAGGAAGGAGAGAGAAGAGGTCTGATGACCTAATACTGAGGGACAAGAAACCTTGTCAAAGGGAAAGGGTCAAAATGCATTCCAGAGTTTGCCTCAAAACCCTAAATTCCCTTTCTGCACCCCACTGAGTAATCTAGTTCTCTTTTACCCTGCTGATCATTTGCTTGTAGGGGGGGCCTCCATCCCTTGCAGGCCCTTATTTCCTACATCACTCTTTGCAGGGAACACTCTTACTCAGTCTGGCACTGTGTCAGACTTTAAACACCTCCTGCTCCCAAGGCTTCCCTGTGTCATCAAACAAATCTCTCCCATGGAGATTCTGGAAAACGCAAGAAAAGAGAGACCCACTCTTGGTCTGTGTTCTGGGGTCTATTCAGAAGTTCCCAGATTCTCTGGAGGTTGCTGCTGTAAGTTTTGGCCCCTTGATGATTGCCAGTTCTTGTCACCCCCAAAGAAGGGTAGGGCGTTATTAGCAAAGAGTCATTCTTCTTTCCACCAGGGTGAAGAAAGCTCAGAGTGGAAATTACAGAAGCAGAGCTAGTAATGACTAAGCATCTGGGTCCAAGGCACCCAGCTAGACAGATAACGCTCCTGCAAGATGACAGAGGGAAGATGCAGACTCTGGAGGCCGCCATGGGGTAAAAGGAAGGGAAAGAAAAGAAGTACCTTCCACATGAATTACTCTGGCTCCTCACACGGCACAGGAGACTGCTGCAAAGAACCCAAAATCCGTGGTTCCTGAAGCCACTCTTTCCAGTGGCTAAGGCAATAGTACACCGTTCTAATTTGGTTTCGCCGGTACAACTGGAGGGAAAGTGTAACAAGGCAACACACTGCACCATCTGCACAGGAAACCGACTGGGGTTGCTGAACCTGAGCCTCCCTCAGGCCAGGCTGAATCGCACACACACCTGTACGACCCATCTAAACACACCCCGGCCGTTTGTCTCCTCTCCATCTATGACCATGAAAGGTTTTACCAAAATCACAGCTTTTTGTCTACCTCCCACATCAACTCCCGCCATCCACACCCTCGTCCATCTTGCCCCCAAATTGGAATCTTAATTAAATAAAATATCATCGAAGGTCTCTTGAGTAAGTTTTACAACCTCATATAAAAATTAACACTCAAATGTATATGATTTAGAGGACACAGGCCAATCCCGCTGGCCCTTAAATGAACTCCGACGACACACAGTACGTTCCCACAGGGAAAGCCATCTTGGCAAAGCAGCAGGAGGCTGGCATTACACACCCCAAGTCATGGCTGGGTAAACCGAGGCACTTAACTGAATCAGCTTGGCAGAGTTTTCAAAGGCAGAGCTGGAAACAGACAATTCTCGGGTGACTCCGCACAGACTTCAGCTCTAGGCCGCTAAACTTGGCACCCATCTGGGGGCTGGAGGAATCCACAGGGATACTTCTTTTTAGAAGGAGATGGGGCCAGAACACCCCACTCGATGTGCGGGTGTCTACCACACCGCGTCCCCCGGATGGCCAAAGGTGGCACCACCTCTGTGTGCTGGGACCCCCGGCGCCGACCGGCGGGCAGGCAGGCGGCGCACAGCCGGGAAGCAAGCGCGGGGACGCGGGCGGCGCGGGGACCTGCGTGCTGCGGGGCAGAGGGGCCACGGGCAGGGACACTGCGCCTTCTGCACCTGGTGGGGCTGGAGCCCGGAGCCCCTGCCCCGTGCGGCCCGGGGCGCACCCGCACCTCCCCGCACCCGCGGGACCAAAGCCCACGCCGCCCGCGCGGGCGCCACGCAGCCTGGGGCGCGCTAGGCCGGTGGCGGCGGCGGCGGCGGCGAGGGTGGCGCGGGCCCGCGGGCTGCGTCCCCCGCGTCCCCCCCATCCCCCGCGTCACCTGTGCGGGTCCCGGGACAGCAGGCGCGGGCCGGGCGGGCAGCGCAGCTCCGGGCGCCGGGTCCTCCGGCCCGGCCGAGGGCTGGTGCCGACCGAGCCGCTCGCGGGGCTGTGGGCTGCGGGCTCCGGGCCGCGGAGAACTGTCGCCGAGGCTGCAGCCGCCGCCCGGACTGCGGGTCGGGTTACCGCAGAGCGGCTCCTTAAAGGGGCCGCGGCCGCTGGCGCTCGGGCGGCGACCCCGGCGCGGGGGGCGGGACGCGGGGCGCGGGGCTCGAGGCCGCCGCGCTGCGGGAGGACCGGCCTGGCCGCGCGCCCCGGGCCCCGAGGCGCGCTGACCACCAGGTGTCCGTCCCCGCAGCGGGCAGCGCCCCGACCCGCCACGTACCCAGAAATGGTCGGCCACTGCGCGCTGACATCCCGCCGCAGCGCCCGCACCCGTGCGATCTGCGGCCCTTGGCTGGGCGCTCGGCCACAGTCGAGTCCCGCCCTGCTGCGTCGGGCCGCAGGTGCATTCCGAGGGGCGGAGGCGGGGCGGTGGGGACAGGCGGGCGGCGTCCCCAGCCTCCTCCCGACCCCGACCGAAGCCTCGACCTGCCTTCACCAAGGCCCCGGGGCTGCAGGTGCAGCTCAGGGCAGGGCGCTTGTCTGTCGGGCACGAAGCCTGAGCTGGGATCCCCAGCCGTCCACACTGCAACCTTTCTGTTGTCCAGTGGAAACTGAGAACGCCAAGTTACCCCGTGCATAAAGTTGGACGCTGACTAATCTTCTGAACTATTTCAGATTGCTCAAAACTCCCAAGTGTTCTAGATCAATCAGATAAAATTGTTTGGAATAAAACAAAATAATGAAGATATGTATTGGTGGTACCAGGGTTTGAACTCAGGGCCTCACACTTGCTAAGCAGGTGCTCTACCACCTGAACCACTCCACCAGTTCTCTCTCTCTGTGTGTGTGTGTGTGTGTGTGACATTTTTTAAACAGGATCTCCCTTTTGCCCAGCCTGGCCTTGAACCATGATCCTCCTGATCTCTGCCTCCTGGGCCACTGGAGCCTGGCTTGACAAGACATATTTAGGTTGTTATAGTCTACAAAAGGTTATCAGAAGGCCTTTTTTTTTAAAATAAAGTGGGAAGTTCTAAAGAAATTAAATCATTTGTAAACAACCCTGTTAGTAATGTAGAAGTATCTATCAATAAGGCTAACATGTCTGACCTAATCCATACACGCACACAGAGAAAATGCCCTCTGGCTCATGGTAAAGGAACTGAATCAAAGTCAGAACCTGGAGTTCTATCACTTAGAGCTGTATGAGTCTAGCTAGCTGACCAGGAAGCTTAATTTATTCATCTATAAAATGGAAATTATAATTCAGTTATTTCTGAAACCCAGATCTTGGCAAAAGAACCTCAGACTGACTTACAAAGATAAAACCTACACCAGCCTCCAGGGACAGAACCCATCCTACAGCAGAAAAGCAGCAGGAAGAATCTGGAAGCCTCCAGGACTCAGGAGGTGCTGGGGCAGTAGAGCTCTCTGACTAGTTTCATCACACTGTGCCCAGTCCGTGTCTGCTGTGTGCATTCAGCTACGATTTCACAACTCTCGTGAGCAGGATGGTTGTTTGTGGACATATGTGGGGTCTCCCAAAAAAAACAGATTGAGTGTCATCCAAGAAGCTCTGTCAAGACCACTTCCTGCAGACACTCTCTGATGCCTATCAGAGGTGCAGCCCCTGTTCTGTTCCCTACTGATAAATGACCACAGTTATCTTTGATCTGTAGTGTCTAACCCCAACACAGAAATAAACTGTCTTCTTCATCCCATTCTGTTCTTTCATGTTAGACCTCTGTGAATACATCACCAACATGCAAGCTTGTTCTGAGATTATCCAGAACAGATATAATACACAAGGCCAAAGTCTGAGATAGAAAAAACTCAGTAGAGATGAGTTAAATGTTACAACTTTCAACTAATCAAAGGTTAGTGGACGTCAGCACTTGCCTAGCAACCATGAGGCCCTGAGTTCAAACCGCAGTGCTTCCAAAAACAAAACAAAGCAAAAATTCAGTGACTTTAGGATACATCCACTACATTCTCCTGAAATTTTAAATTCAATTTAAATCTTTATCCATTTCATTTTATTCACATTTAAATCTTTAATTATTCTTAACTTTATTTTACAATGCTTCCTTTCTAAGGATAATCCCTCAAAATTTGCATTTATTTACTATATGAAGTTTTCTACATTTTAAATGTGAAGTATCAAGGCTGACTGACACTTTTAAATTTTTTTTTTCTTCATGGAAACAGTTCAAGATAACAGTAAAAGTATTCATCTACACTTTAAAAATTCCAAATTTTTCTCTTAAATAAAATTTTCTGTTTTGCAAAATTCTTGCTGGGCGCCAGTGGCTCATACCTGTAATCCTAGTTACTCAGGAGCAGAGATCAGGAGGATCGAGGTTCAAAGCCAGCCCAGGGAAATAGTTCCTAAGACCCTCTCTTGAAAAAAACCCATCACAAAAAAGGACTGGCAGAGTGGTTCAAGTGGTAGAGCACCTGCCTAGCAAGTACGAGGCCCTGAGTTCAAACCCTAGCACCTCCCACTTATTTACCAAGACCACAGCATCTTCTTTCAAAAATGTCAAGATAATTAAGGCAAAAATACTGGAAAACTGGCCTCCATTCTCCATTCTGCTGTAGTGGAGATGTGAACTACATGACATCAAACATTTTGGAAGAAAGGTTTTGGTTAGGGCTGGAGATACAGCTCAGAAGTAGAGTGCTTGCCCAGCACATGGAAAGCCCTAGGTTCGTGAAATGCAAAAAAAAAAAAAAAAAAAAAAAAAAAAACTTTTAAGTTTTGAGTTAGTAAAAAAAAAAAAAAAAAGAATAACCCTAGGCACAATTCTTTTCCTGCCTTGGAAGTTTTAGTGTATTAAGAGTCTTTTTTTTACAGGTGACACACACCTATAATCCCAGCACTTGGGAGGCTAAGTTTGAGGCCAGGTTAGGCTACAGAGACCCTATCTCAATAATAATAATAATAATAATAATAATAATAATAATAATTCTGCAATTATGAGCATCAAAAAGTATTTTCTTTTTTTTTTTTTAAGCAAATCTCAGGAAGAAATTGTTTCAAGATGTTATCTCTGGATGGGTGAAATTCTGGATACCTTTTGTATTCTTTTTGCTTATTTTATGATTCTTTGCTGTACCATATGTGTATTGCTTTTGATAGCATTTTTATTTTAATAAAAATACATATGAGTGAAAATGGAAATGGTTTGTAAAGGCTGAGAACAAAAGCCAAGCTTGAGTCCCCCCAGTCCTGTCCCCTCCCTACCACCTCTCCTAGAGAGCCTGCTCTGGGTTCCTCATCTCTTACTGATATCTTTATATCAGTGCTTGATTTTCAGTTTCAGGCATTGTTTACTAACACCTTGTCACAGTACTGACCATCTCGTTCATGCCACCATCAGCACTTTGCCCCACCCTCATTTCCAAATTAGCTACACAGAATCAATAAACAATGATTAGGGTTTATGTCATCCTGATAATGCAAATGCATTCCATTGCTGAGTCAAGTAAAGAGCCGTGATTACATCAGTCTTGAAATCTCTTCTGCTTCCTGGAGTTAGGAATTGCCTTGCCTTTTCCACTTTCAAAAAAAAAAAATGTATCTAACCTAAATTTTACCCAAAGTCTTCAACATTTCTATCAAATACCCATCACTATTAGTCAATGCCCAAACATGTGACTTTGAGTGTACTCTGATTTTGTTGAGCACAGATCCAACAGCTTACTCAGAGGGGGCACACAGATAGCAAGGACCATGTCTGACCATGGCTTTTCTGTGCTTTTTCCTGATCAATACTTTCGACAGGTGGAAATTCATTTTCCCACCTCAGTGAAGAGCATTCTTCCACAGCCTTTCACTCCTAGCCTTGCTACTGAAATGTCTGCCACCCCTCGGTGTCTGACTCAGATCACCCCATTGCCCCTGGAAGCCCAAAGCTTCACTACGATGTATCTTTGAACACTCGGGGGTCTTTCTCTGTCATTTTGCTATTTCTTTGCTGGTTTCCTCCCGTCCATTTTCTGCTGTCTTTTGTTATCAGGGTCCAAGAACTACAGCTCTCTCTAAATGTGTTGTCTTTTTGTCCTCTTGATCATCTCTGCATCTTTCTGTTCTATTGTGTAAGACGCAAGTTCTCAAAGGAAGAAGTGCAGAAGGCTGATTCCTGCACCCCCAGGGACGTGTGTCAATGTCTGGAGATAGTTTTGGTTGTCATGACAGAACAGGGGGTGCTGGCATCTTGTGAATGAAGGCCAAGTGCACTGCCAACCAGCTTACACTGCACAAAACACCCTCCCACAACCAAGAATTCCCAATCCCAAATGTCAACCGTGCAAGATTGAGAAATGCTGGACCAGGAGAATTCCTTAACCTTATCTTCTTGGTTCCAAACACATTTTTCACTTGCAAGGGCTCTTCGCCATCCTCTGGCTGCCCTCTGTTATGGGGTCTCTCCATCAGGAATAAATCTCCAGAGAAGAAACATTGACCCCACAGAGGGATTCCATTGACTGCACGACAGTACCAGTACCATTAGGGTGCAGTGAAGGACTGCAGGCTGCTGTAGGAGGTGGGGAAGGGACACAGGTCTACAAACTTGGAAAGAGGTAACTTCAGGATTTTCCTCCTTCAGCTTGACGCCATCCCTGCCTC